CTCCCAGCGGCATCTGGTGCTTTTCTAGACTATCCTAAGCCTGTTGATTGAGAGTGACGATGATAAATTAGCTGAACTGTACCGAAATCCTCACTACTGCTCCTCAATGCTTTCACATGTCTTCGTCAGGTGAACGGCGGATCACCGCGTGGTCTCCTCCAGAGTAACCCTGCACGAGTGAAAGGGGTGCGATGGGACGAACACTCAGCTGACGTAAGCAGGATGTGACGGAGCCGTCTTAACTGCTGTAGAAAAATCAGCTTGCTGAAGGAATTACTCACATTCTCTAGTACACGACGTCTAACTACCCCGTCGCAGCTACCTTGTTGCCACCTCGCACGAGCAATCATTTTCTAACACCCATTACTGAATGCTGAGAACCGGCACATGTCATCTATGGGAACTGGCCACGACTCGTTTCCACATAGCAACCTTATGCGAACGGTGGCATTGTAAACACAATCAGAACGGAGACATTTCGACGACGCCACAAATGTTTCAGTTTGACAAACGCCGACCGAGCCCTGCTGATCCGGAGAGAAACTTCCTTTTCTATGGTGCCGTAAACAGACAGGCAGCTGCCCAGGTATATAAAGCTATCAACATGTTCAAGCTACGTATTTTCGAGAGTGATCACGGGAACGGGCGAGTGCCAATGCTGGATGAGCACTTTACATTCCGACGAGGTGAACCACATTCTGCACCAAGATGCCAACACGGTTTGCATACTCTGCGAGTCGTCACCCAGAAAGGCGATGTCATTGGCATACTCTAAGTCGATTGCTCGCTTACGCGGCAGTAGCTGCATTCCAAACTGTTGACAGCAGGACGTCTTCAGTTGCAAACGTGAAGAGGAACAGGACATAGGGCAGCCTTGCCATGCTTCGCTATTGATAGGGATAGACGAAGAAAGTTTGCCATAGAGGCTCACTCTGCCGGAGACATGAAGGTAGAGCGTGCCTAGGAGAGCAGTATACTTTTCCGGGACGCCGTTCCTTTGCAAACAACGCCTTAGCGCAACTCCATCAACGGATACGAATGCAGGAGACAGTTGGTCGTTGCTAAACAAGATGTGGTGCACCGTCCTCTTGACTGTGCTAGGCTCATACGGTTATTCAGTGCAGTGTGGAAGAGGCAACAGGGCGGCTATCGCCTTGTAAAGTCAGGGACGCTTGATTCCTAAATTAGATAGTCAGGAATGTTGTTGTGCATGTTTAAGAATTGTCTGCCGGCTCCGACGATGTAACTTGGTTCCTATCGACATGCCTCCCGGTTTCATTCCTTCAGGCTTACCTCGGATATGGATTGTATGTACGGTCCTGTGGGTGATGCAATGCAATCTATCCATGGTCCCTTAGTATTGGCAGGTGTCCAGTGGATGTCCCTGTGGCGGCCATAATGACGGTCAAATCCGTAACCGAATGCCGCCAACTATATCCAACAGTCTACTGACATATGTAAAGCCATCGAAATATAGAAAATAAAGCAAGGTAGGGTTATCGCAAAACGTAAATCGGACACAATGCAGGGAAATTCTTGGTTTTGTCAGAGGACGCTATATTACTCTGTTGCTCAAGCCGAAGTAGGAAGTTGGTTTAGGTGTCACTACTTATCCTTTTGCTAAATAACCTATCCGCAAGAAATCGGAACGAAATTAGTCTCACCCATTGGGAATCCGTGACGGAAAGTTCAGTTCATGCGTCTTTCATTTGGTCGGCTGCCAAACAAGGGCCAGCTCACCTACAATTTCAGAAGCAGGCCGCTTAAATACAATGCTCTGACTGGGTGAAACAAGGTCCGTGACTCTAACTTGTACAGAGTCACACCCACCGCGTTCCAATTTTGTTAAATGAACATTTCGGCTTTTTATTGGGAGAACGCTTGCGATGGGAAAACCCACCACTCCCTAAAACATCGCTGCCAAACCATTCGCTTTAAAGGGATAATAATCCCGAAGCATCCAGTTGTCATCCAGAGGGTTTTTTTCGCAATTTCGTATGGAAGTTGTTCGGCATGTCAGATGGGAGGAAATAGACCAAGAGACTGGGTCAGCTTTGTACTTGCAGCCTACTTGGACGCAGGGCCAGAGGTATGGCGGATCATTTCTCAAAGACCTTATTTAGTATGGCGAAGTCGCGGACTTATCGCGATTAATTTTACTCAGTCTTGGAATCTTGTTGGAACCGAACGAAAAATCATGAGTATAGGTAACTTTGGGAACAATCAGATGGAGTGGGGGTAGCTTCTTACTCTTAAACGGACTCTTTGCAGCCCAGTGCAAAATCCTGCTGCATAGCGGTTTGGTTTTTGAACCAAAGGCTTTAGTTATTAACTTTACTCATTCTCCTATCTTGACTACAGTTACCTGAGAGCATCCTGTCCATTCAATACAGTGATAACTTCTTGGAACTATTTCTTGATGTTCTGGCCGCCGCAGAAGATTCTAAACGGCACCCACTCCGCTGACCCGAGCTGAGTGGTTAGGGGGAGAGGATGTTACTGCTCAGACTTTCCCTTTCCTGTTGTTCGCCCTTTTACATCTTTTCATCCTTATCGTCCTGTTCCAACCTTTACTACCCTCTATTTAACCCCTCCCACCAATTTTTGGCTGTACCCCAGTTTACTGTACTAGGCGTTTGTCCTTCAGTTTCAAGTTGCATTCAACCCAAGATAGTCGCTGTGGTTCCGTTAACAAATCCATGTCCAACCAAGGGAGCAACTTCCGTTCCTCCGCTTTTATTTGGAACTCTCGATCCTCGCGCTTTGTTGCAGCTCTGCCGGCGGGTAGCACTAACTCTAACATTTAAGGTCCAATCCGTCGACATATTCTGTCTACAATTTTAGCTTTGTGCTCATTCTCGATCTTGAGATAGTGCAACCTTAATTGCCGGTCCAGCCGATGTGTGTATAGCTCTGAATGAGATCATGGCTGAAAAAATATGCGAAAAGCGAGAGGGGGAAGGATAACACATCCGTCACTAAACTTGGCTCTTCACCGTTTCTGAAAGTGTCTCCGACCAAACGTTTATGTTATCTTTGGAACCTCTTCATGCGGAGACCGGAACGCCCCTTCCGAAGCCAAGTTCTAACGGACGATCTTCAGTCCTCTTGACTAAGTCCTCAGTTCTCCTCTCCACCTCCACTTTTTTACCCACACCTTTGCTACACAAATAACGTACGTCACGAATGTCAGTGTACTGGCGGGCGTAACGCATGATGCAACCGTCGGAGCCTGCTGCGTGAAATAACGGTGCTTAACTGTCCGTTAACTTTTCCTGCGCCCTGAACACAGCGGCGAACGTTTACTGCTTACACAGTGCTCGTACAAGGAAACTACCGGTGGTTAGACAAAATTAACCTCCTCCTCTTTGCTGACCTTACGTACCAAGTTTCACAACCTTATATTAGTGTCTTACGGACTATAGTATTGTACATCTTGCTCTTCAGAACAATGGTGATTGTTGCCGTTCCACCACAAGCTGCGAAGTTTACCAAAAGTGCCACGAGATTTTGTTGCACAGTTTGCGCTGATATAGCTGCTTAGGTAGTTGAATTTCTAAATAGCTTCAAGGGTATCTCCAACAAAGCCCATTGTTTGAAGTCGTCCCTGCCAATGTCGGAGGAAACTTTGTGCTTTATGGTTTCGAAGCACAACCTGAAACGCGTGACGGCCATTGGCAATCTATTCGGCGCCTTCTGTCATGTTTCTGAACTTTTAGGGCTCATGGAACTATCATCAGCGCTCTCCAGTTCCACAACTCGATTTCCTCTAAGCGGCTCCACACCAATTCGTGTTCGGTGAACACGGTTTCTATGACTTGAAAAATATAGGTAACGAGAGACATTATCGTATTAAACCGCTGAAGATATTAAATGGCGATTACAGTTTGCAATACACCATCGCTCTACCAGAACTGTAAGCGTAAAGCGCTTTTATAATATTTACCTCTTTTTTCGATACCTTTTCTAATCAGATAGTTTCAGAGTTTATCAATCCACCGAGTCGAAGGTACGTTTAATGTCAGGAAACATGGCTATTGTGGGTCTCCAATAAATATGGCGGTGCTGCAACAACTGACGTGACTTGAAGAAAATGTGATCGATGCAGCTTCGATTTCTTCTATCCGCGGTCTGCTGTTCGTGAGTTTGACATTCATGGGCAGCAGCCTGCTCATGAAGAATGACGGAAGTAAACGACTTATTGATTATTGAGATCAGACTGGTGTATCCCTTTGAGTTCCACATTCTGGACGTGAACCCGTCTCAAAAATCAGGGTCATATCAAAGCAGCTGCAGTCGGTTGGAATAGTATCTTGTTCGGTTGTTAGACTCTTTTATACCATACATTTTTTGTTCCCACCGTTTCACTGACTGATCATGCAGGTCACTTATGATTTTTTCGTTAGCTATCACTGAGTGTCGTTGTGTTCGCTCCCAGTCGGAATCTTTTGGCGAGCATGGATAAGTTCCGGTGGCGTAGGGTTTAAAATCTTGGATTCGAATCATCATTCTGCTATCTCTACCTGTGGAGTGCAAGCAAGTTCGAAACGGTCGCGGAGTACACTGTTTCTAGCCCGTAACGTCTAACATTTATCTGATAAGCAGTTTTTGGCGTTCACCTTACATTTTCAATTCCTATATGTTGTGCACGATGAGGCAATTTTGTCTTGTAATTTAGTCCAAATAATAATCCTTGCTGATAGCGGTCTCGTCTATACAGCTGGCCGTGTATTGAATCTACTTAATTCATTGCGGCACTTTGGTGACCACGGAACCGTGAGTCAATTTTCCACTCAAGTGTCACAGTACACCATGATGCTTAGGTGTAACTACCACAAGCCAACGCTAAACGCTTGTATATTAAAATGATTAGCTGGGATTTAGCATTCGTTGCTGTACTCTTGTAACTTCTAGCCGGACGACGTGTACTTGGACGTTTTCTCGTTTCTTTTTCTGCAGTTTCAACGAGGTGGTTTGAGACCAACGCGAGGGATCAGCACATGCACATATTGCGTCTGATGGATCGACTGGAATCTAGTCAACGCACCGTTCGACAGAAAGCTATTCGAGGTCTGCTGTACTTACTCCAAGGCAATTTCGGAGATTGTGAACTGGAAGAGGATCAGATTACTTGGGCCAGACGGAACGTACATATGTGTATCGAGGCTGGTCTCTTATCTGTTGCTTGTCAAGTGCTCTTACTCGAGATTGCGTACGAGTGAGTTTTGGTCTTTATTAAAACAATTTCTCGGTTTCTCGCTGTCTTGTATATTTTTCGGTATCTGATATTAACAAGCGATCAGATTTAGTGAACAAATCCAGGTGGTCTAAAGGAACAGACTTACGTAGGAGATAATGGTTGAGGTTCAGATGTTACTGCGTGCCCGACTTTAGTCATTTAGATCCAAACGGAAACCATACCGCAAGGTTTGGCAGTGAGTGTTTTTTAATCATCTATTTGAATTTGTGATGTACTCGCCTACCATAGATGGTCTAGTATGATTGACTTCAGCTGTTCTAGTCGTCATGCCGTCAAGTCAAGTGAAGCTTTAAGGTACCCAGATGGGCGCATTTTCAGCATTTTACAATATCTACTGCGGGTTAACTAAAATGACATTTAAACAAATTTGACAAGTACAGCAAGAAGACGACATTTGGCAGTTGCAACCATTTCGTGTTATCCCTTCAGTACCAATAACAACAACCGATGAGAAACAATAGCAAATGGTGGATGTGACCAAAAAACGAAGAAACAAACTTGGAGATCAAGATGGGCGAAAACGATTCGGTCTTTATGTGAAACGGAAGTCTGAGACTGACGAATAGCTGTTTATGCACGCACAGCATAGGCTGCATTCGGTTACTCGCTTAACCCTCAGCGAAACGAAGAAATCGCGGATTAGAGTGCCGCAGCAAAATTTTGAACGCGGTATCGAGCCGGATCCGGTGACCAGTAATCAATTGGTGTTTATTTATGGAGGATGCCGGCTGCTTACGCAATGACAGGGCTAAGGTATGAAAAGGCTGTTCGTTTATCCCACGCAGGATCCACTTCGGTACCTGTTCCTTCATCCGGAAAGACAATGCTCTATTGATCCTGCCAATGTAACTGACTCTACAGTTACATGTAAGTTTGCATGCACAATGAAAACTGGCGCCGATTGGCAGAGCTTCCTTCTGATGACGTACTGGAACTTGCTGGTTCTGTTAATGAGGACGACCTCAGCAGCATAGTATGTCCTATGCGCAGCAGCGATGAGGCGCTTAGTGGTCCTTAATGTGGCGATATCACCCTTGAAAGATAATTCGCTGCCTACTGTACCAAGTCCTTTGGTCTTCGTAGCTGTCTGTGCTTCTCTATAATCCTTCGACATTAACCGTTTGACATCAGCGTGGCTGTAATTCCCTCCAAGTCATCAGTTAGACAGTCTGGCGAGCACAGTCGTCCGGCACGACTGACTAAGGTCTTCACAAGTGTCCGCTTGTACCGCGTTGGTGTGAATTTTGTGAAATGAGGGTATTGACCGGACCACGTTGTCTTTCGGTAGACGGAACTCCTAACCTCTCCGTTCTCTGCTACTGATGAGAAGATCCAAGAATAGCACACATTTCACGTTCTTGCTTGCTGGTGATGCGCAAGTTGGTATGTGCACTGTTGAAGCGCTCAACCAACCGGGCCATATGCAACTCAGATAGACAAAAAGCCAAAGTGTTATCAACATTGCGCCTGTAGTATGGCAGCTGGTCTATCTCTGTGGACATTCTTTTCTCGCCCACGAGCATAAAGAAATCAGCCAGTGGGCTGTCCATTGCCACCCCATCGACTTGGCGGTATGGCGTATTCTGAAAGTGGAAATCAACCTTCTCTATGTACAGTAGCAAGGAATCCCTTAGTAACTCGACCGGAATCGGCAATTAACAGCCAGTGTTCAGCTAGTTCGCACACATAATCCACAGTCTCATGTAGAGGGACGTTAGTGATGAGAGATTCCACATCCAGGGAACACATGATCTTGTCTGACAAGTTGATCGCATCGTGGTTGTCAGTGAGTTGAAATCTTTTAGACTGTACCGGTTGACCAACTGTCTCAGTGGAGAAAGAACCTTCACCAGCCAACTAGCTAGTTTGTGCTGGGGCGCATTTACCATCGAAAGAATCGGCCGGAGCGGCACTTCACTTTTGTGTGTTTTCAGTAGCCCATACAGCTTTGCAGTTACTTAACCACTGAGCTTTAAACTGGCATATGTAACATCATCTATTACTCGGCGTAGGAGAGGCTTATCAAGGTGGGGGATAACGCGCCTCTGGACCTCAATCACATCTACCTTCTTGTGCCGTTCGAATTTGCTTGCGTCGTTGTGTAGTATACCCATTTTTGCACTTATCCGGTTTCATTACAACCACGTCCTTAGCACGTAGTTCACGCAGCGCTTGAAGATGCCAGCTTGTGAGCGCACATTTTTCATTTATAGGCGCTGTTTTGACCTCGTAGACGATATCAGTTAACTTGTTTCTAAACCAGGTCTGTTTTTCAGGGCTGGTAGCTTGAAGCTCCTTGAACTGATCATAAAAGTTCTCAAATTGTGCTTTACATGTAACTGTAGAGTCAGTTACATTGGCAGGACCAATAGAGCATTGTCTTCCTGGATGAAGGAACAGGTACCGAAGTGGATCCTGCGTGGGATAAACGAACAGCCTTTTCATACCCAAGCCCTGTCGTTGCGTAAGCCGCCGGCATCCTCCATAAATAAACACCTGTTGATTACTGGTCACCGGATCCGGCTCGATACCGCATTCAAAATTTTGCTGCGGCACTCTAATCCGCGATTTCTTCGTTTCGCTGAGGGTTTAGCGAGTAACCGAATGCAGCCTATGCTGTGCGTGCATAAACAGCTATTCGTCAGTCTCAGATTTCCGTTTCACATAAAGACCGAATCGTTTTCGCCCATCTTGATCTCCAAGTTTGTTTCTTCATTTTTTGGTCACATCCACTATTTGCTCATCGGTTGTTGTTATTGGTACTGAAGGGATAACACGAAATGGTTGCAACTGCCAAATGTCGTCTTCTTGTTGTACTTTTCAAACTGCTTAAGGAAATTAATTGCTTTCATTTAGACAAATGTAAACTTTTATAAATGGATACAGAAAAAGGATAGGGCGCATTTGTGTCCCTCGAGTAAAAGAACTCGCGTTCTTCTTGAGCACAGTGCATTTTGATAAACAGAACCCCCTTTTTCTATTTTACAGAGTATAATTTTGTGAGGACATTTCTTCTGAATTCGTTTCAACTGGCCGAAAAGTTGATTACCAAAGCCAGCAGACCGCTAATAGTGCGCTGTATCTGCGCTTAGCTTTCAAGATATCGGTCCTGTTGACCTTGGGTACATTTTACACAAATGGCTATCAAATTATTCCTATGAAACTTATTATATCCGCAGTAGATAAACTAAAAATGGTGTTCAGTGAAGAGGCAACGGCCGATTTATAGTCCCCGCCGATTAACTCCTTTTTACAACCAACTTGGATTCTTCCGCTTAGAGTAAAAACAATAGACAATTTTTTTAAACAAGTAATCAACGAGTGAAAATAAGCAAGATCATAGGTTAGTCCATGCCAGTGTCCATCATGGGTAAACACTACTTTTCATTCGCAATGTGAACGACCCCACTGAACTCAACGTTAACCTTACACCAATATCTTTTCTCGGAGACAATAGGAATAGAAGCATTTAAGTCAGGTGAAAATGGTTTGGTTATTTGGGTTAATTAGCGGAGTTCGGCTATGTCGGAAATCATCAACAACGCTCAGCATAAATTCTGCATATTCGAAGTGTTATTCCGAAATTTGCTCATTCAACTAATACTTTGTGTATGGGTTACTCGTGACAAATTTTCTCTGTGTGCTCCAGGATGTTTTTTGTCAATGGTCACTCTTTTATAGAAAGCACCCGAAGTACTGGTTTAATTTTTGACGAGGTTTCGGTGTCCAACCAGGCGTAACCCAGCTATCATACTGGGTATGTTTGCTTGACCCAAGCCGTTTTTGTTGTTCTCTTCTTCAAATCCTGCTTTATAAACGCCTTAAACAGATCTCTTATCCTGCTTGGGTGCGCCGCGATAGGTCGCTTATTTCCACTGCTGCGAATATATCCCACATGGGATCACATTTGACTACAACATACTCGAATCCAAGCCAAACACAAAAAGGCCTTTATTCTGTTAGAGCCTTATTTTGTGTGCGAGTATCATGCATTCAGTTACTACACAAGACAACGTCAGTTTCATCTTATAATTGTGTAACTTGACTTCATCACAACAAGATTCATTCATCTGGACTGGCGCTGGACTGCTGTTTCATCTTTTCGGTCTGATGTTGCCAAATCGCGAGCTGCAACTTCGGGTTAAGGTTATGGTGATTCGTGCTTTGACGCTTCATTGAAAGCAGTATCTTACATGTCATTTTCTTCTAGGGCCATATGGACTTGGTACCCTACGGACCAGTGCTTTGTCACATGGTCGATGTCTAAAGCCTAAAGCAAATTGGCGACCACCGCAATATCATCCTATCATGTAACCTTAACCAAAATCTTCGTTACCACTCTGTGCTTTCGAGTCCTTTGCTTAGCTTTAATTTATGTCAAAAATCCATTATCCACATTCTGCGTCAATCTCGTTTATCACTTTGTCGAAAATCAGCAAATGGTCAAAATCCGCAACCACATGCGAAGACCCTCCGAAGGATCAAGATTTTGCTACGAATAAGGAGTCGGTAATCACCACAGAAGATTCCGAGCCAGCTCAACCAAAAAAAGGCACCCTGTGCATGGCGGACAGTGCTGACTTGCGGGCCATTCTCTCTGTTCTCTACATTATGGTGGAAACAGTCCGTGATGGTCTAATGAGTGGCTCTGCTCAATCCCCTGTCAATTGCGGTCCGGCCGGTGTGCAATCCTTGCGTACACATTGTAGCACTCAGGATCCATCTGCCAAGCTTCGAGAACAATTTCTGGAGGAACTTTGTAAGACATTTTTTGCTACCAACTGAGTGATGTCGTTATGCCATCTGATTTCACGGTAATTGTACGCATAGGTTTGCTCACCCATACGTTAGGCATTGCGACTAAAAACATTTGCCGCTGAATGTGGACATTCGTTGGGGTATCAGTGAGCTAGGACAGATTTATCCTTACTACTTGGACATCCGCTTTTAAGCTAATATTTCTGTCTGTTCTATAATACACTCCTTTTTCTTCTGCTAACGACCACTTTCGCGGTATTAGTTGCCGCTGCCCTCTCGTACTCTGTGCACCTCCTAAAGGTTTGGTCATCGGATAGCTCCTCGTGTGTTTTGCTCCAGCTTAGTCTCTTCGGTCAGAATCACTGCATCTCCTCCAATTCCTTGCACTATTATGTGGATTATCTGGTTCACCATTTTATGCAACCATTCTCAGCGCCGACAAGTTTATAATTGATTAACGAGTGTTTCTGGGGGACGTTCACGTGGATCCCTCTGTTAGTTTGCAGCATATCAAACAACTTTACCTCTCTACAGCACATGCTGTTGAGTCACATAGTTTCTCCTATCCTACTGCTATTACGCAAAAACTGCTGTTGCTAACCGTTTCCTAGTTAGAGTCCATGCGGCAGATTGTGGCCTTTTTGTGCCTGATAGCAACTAGGAGGGAATGGCGATAATGCCGTAATGCGCGGAGTACGGGCCGTTAGGCATGTGTCACTTTGCGGATTATCTGGCTGTTTTTCACCTACGTGCTCTTTTCACTGGACGCTTTTGCATTCGTGATAAATGGGTTTTGCCGATACGCATCAATTTTTTCGCTTTTGCTCGATTCGGACTATTCCATATCTATTAAAGCAGATAGGCTGTGTTGGTAGTTCTCCAATCCAATAAAGCGCTCCATGGGAGCGAAGTTACGCCGGATACCTTTGCTTTAAACTGAGTAATTTTAACTATATGTCACCGTTTCGAAAATAGTGCAATATTTTCTTTTGCTTGTTGAAATTTATTTATGTTTCAGTGTGGATCACCACCCCACCAAATGTCTGTTGAACCTTGTCTTTTGAATGCCTTTAGACAGCTTATCGCACTGGAAAGTACACACTGTTTTGATGGCGTCTGTCAAATGTGTATCTAATTATGTCTCATACATTCAAATGCAGGCTCTTATTATTCACCAGCTAGCGCTTTGAGTAAAGTCATCGGTGACCGGCTGCAGATTCGAGCATTTATGGTTTATTTTCCTCACTGAACCTCTATATAAAAAGGCATCCATCTTTGATCAATGACCTTCACTGCATTCTTGAACTAACTGCACGCGGCTTGTCCTCTCGCTATTGGTTGCGAGCGTCCGGAGACGCTTATGTGAAAATCGTTGGTCAGAATTGGGTGGGCATCGTTCTCAGCTATAAGGCTGTCATCTTTCGTTAGTCGGATCCCCGTGAGTAGCCCGTTTTACATCAACTAAGGTTTATTCACGAGGTAGTACAAGACGCTGTTTGTTTGTGGTTTTCGCTTATGCTCCCACCGACTGCAGTTCTGATGCTGTCAAGAACGCCTACTACAACGAACTGAACACGTTAATACGCAGTGCTACCAGCGCAGCTATTGTTGTGGTTACATGGGATATGAATGCGCAAGTAGGTCGTCTGAGCTTTTCAGATACACGGGTAATGGGTAACTATGGGCTTAGTTCTGAACGTACGGACAACGGATGGCATCTGTTACAGCTGTGCGCAGGGCGTCAGATGTTTCTTAGTTCACCGCTTCTAGTCACGGTGGGCGCCAGAGTGCCTTTTGACCTCCTCTTGTAGCTAGCTGGCGATGGACCCAAATATATAACCTTGCTGTTAGTTACAAGTGGTGTGGCTCCATCCTATATTCGTTTATACTGAAATGCCTTCGTCTACTCTCTTCATACCTTTGTACGCAGTTGTTTTTTCATGAACTTTATGGTGAAGCATACCAAGCGCCTCTTTCGATTGGCAACTGAGACGTTATCCCATCCTTCTCTCACACAAGCTTACCAGGAGCCGTGCGTACCGAACTTTTGCTCCCTCGTCCTGATGACACTGAGCTTCAGTGGAATAGGATCTCGACCGCTATGCACGACGCGGGCGACTGCTTGAGGCCGTATCCGTCGTTACCACACCAGTCACTGGATATCCGAGAGGTCGATGAACCTGTCGGAACCCATAAGAAAACTTTGCTGACTCTGAGCACAATGTAACCAGTTGTACTGTTACGCATGGATTAAAGCGGAGTATGCTTGCTGACAAGGAACTCTAGTGGGTCAGTGGGGCTCAAGCATTGATGTGGGCGATAGCAGGAGCCACTTATCACAAACTCTTCTAACTGGCATCAGGAAACCAGGCGTTAGTAGTACCATTAGATACAGCGCGGATGCCTTGATTTGCAATATGAAACGCCGTTGGACTCATTGGCTAGGGTACTATCGATATTCTTTGGCTTGACTGCGTACTCTTGCATCTCTTCTAACTCAGGTCATGCAGGCTGAGCCATTGTGCGTTAGTTTGGAAGCACCACCGGATTCTGAGATCCGAGCATTATCGCAGCTCTCAACTGTTTTCGACCTACTTGTCCGGATTCCCCTGCTTCCCTACTTCATCGGAATAATGACCGGGTCCTCTGGGTTGCCGAACTACCTCATGTTGTTAAGTGGGTCTTTCGGGTTTCTTCCGTTCTATCCAATAGTTCGGCGCAGTGTTCCAGGACTTGGTGGATTTGTGCCTGACAAGCGCTCCTTATCTGTTTAACAACACTGCGACGTTGCGTATGTGATTAACCACTTAATTAAGTAACTGCCCCTTTCTTTACCTCGTCGGAGTATTGTACCCATCATCATGATCATCATACACGTTAGCTAGAGGTGGGGAACACCTCAGCTACTGTGCCGCAATACATAGAAAAAGGAGAAAAAATGCAACTGGTGCAAGCCGGCTGAGATACCGGTAACGGATGGGCATCGTTCCGGTAAGCTACCAGCCGGCTACTGTGCATCAAAAAATTACTATGCAAAATTATATAAGGCTAAATAATGAGATCGTGGTTGGAGGGGGAGGCTAAGAGGGATGGAGTGGGACAACGAAACTCACAGCACGAACGCCATTGAGGTCGGCTTCTAGCCATATCAGCAAGTGTGTCCAACCAAACGTGTTCATCGTCTTTCGGACCCCAACCAAGGAGCCGGGACGCTCCAACCGAGGCCAGCCCAGAAGTGAGGGCCTTCATTCCTCTCGACCAATTCATCGCTGGGCCACCCCACCTCTTCCATCCACACCCCCGGCGCGCAAACAACGCACGTCGCAGGAGTTGTTGGGCTGGCATGCGTAACACTTGGCCGAGCCATCGGAGCCTGGTGCGTGAAATAACGGTGCTGAGCGGTTCATTTTCTTTTCCTGTGCCGTAAACAAGGCGTCGAACGCGCTCGTTGCTCACGCGCTGTTCCCACCAGATGTGAGCTAAATTACGAAGGCACCGGTGGTCGAACGTAACTAGCCTCTTCAGGTCCGCTGCATTAAGCGGTCAGGTTTCACAACCGTACAGTAGGGTCGAACGTACCGCTGCATTGTACACTCTATCCTTCAGGGCAAGAGTGCTGTCGTGCCGGCGCCACAAGTGGTGAAGGTTAGCAAAAGCGCCTCGAGCTTTTTCTATGCGGTTCGTGATCTCATCCTCAATCCCACGGGTGCTGATACAATTTCCCAGGTAGTTGAATTTTTGAACGACTTCTAACTGATTCCCACCAATGGTCAGCGTAGGAGGCGGTCCAAACCAATCTTGGAGGAACGCTTTGCACTTCGAGGGTGCGAAGCAAAGCCCGAAGTGACGGACAGGTAGTGCTAATCTGTCCAGTGCGGCTTGGCACGTCTGGGAGCTGTCACAGATTAGGGCAATATCATCAGCATACTCTAAGTCAAGAAGTCGTTCTCCTGGGAGCAGATCCACACCTTCAAAGTCGTGTCCTGTGAACGCGATTTCCATGACTTCCTCAATAGCGAAGTTGAAGTGGAAAGGTGACAGCGGGCATCATTGTCTCACGCCGCTGGAGATATTAAAGGGCGACGACAACTTGCCGTAAGCCCTCACTCTGTCCGAGCTACGCGCATATAATGCTCGGATAATATTCACATATTTCTCAGGTACACCTTTCCTGAGTAGACAGTCCCAAAGTGCAAGTCTATCCACAGAACCGAATGCACCTTTGATATCGAGGAACACGACAACGGTGGGCCGCCAATATATGTGACGGTGCTCCAACAATTGACGCAAGGTGAATATGTGGTCAATGCAGCCACGACCTCGACGAAACCCGGCTTGCTATTCACGAATCTGGCTTTCACGAGTGCCAGTCAGTCTGTGAAGGATGACAGAGGCAAGCAATTTGGGGGTGATGGAGATCAGACTGATTCCTCTATGGCTGCCGCATTCCGATGGTGAGCCTGCCTTAAAAAATTGGGACTATGACGGAGCGGCTCCACTCGGTTGGGACAGTTTCCTGCTCCCACAGTTTGACTAGTAGCTCGTGTAAATCATCCACGAGAGCAGGTCCCCTGAATTTGAACAGGGCTGGTGGAAGGTCATCAGGTTCCGCGGCTTTATTTAACTTCAATAGTTCAATCTCACGTTCGACTTCTGAGCGAGAGGGTGGATCCAAAGGGACAGCCCACAGAGCAGGGCGATCAGTGACCAGCGAATCGAACAATTCTAGCCGATTAAAAATTGCTTTTCCAAATGCTCAGCCCAACGCTCCCAACGTTTTGACAGATTGTGGATAGGCTGTCCACTTTAATCACAAATTTTTTCACTAACACCAAGTCTCCTGCTGCCCGTTTTCCGTATCAGCCGGAATAACGTACGATGGTTACCAAGGGCAGCGGCCATTTCCATCTCTGATACACGATGAGACCACCAGGATTCGCGGTCTCTCTTCAGGCTTGCACGGAGTTTTGCCCGGAGCTCTTTGCGAGATTCATTGTGTTC